CCCTTAATCCCTGTCTCACATCAAGTGAAGCCAAGGTCGACTCCTCCCATCCTCAAAATCTCTGCAGACGGCGCATCCATCTTCAACCTGTACTACCTCCGCATAAATTGCCAGTTCCTTCATCCGCTCTCTGCAATCTCCCGCTACGCGACTAGTGAATCCTAGCGAACCAATTTCCAAGAAGGGAGGAAGGGGGTTAAAAAAAAAAAAAAAAGGATCCATCCATTTACGCAAGGACCGGATTCATTTCCATCTAACATCTTTCAGACGACATAAAAAAATCAATGGGAGGAATTTCGATGAACTCTTTAACTGATCAATTAATGTATTAGTAAGATACAATATGCAAGTGTGTATGTGTACACATCTAGGTTTTGCTTTTTGCTTTCTTTTTCTTTGACACCTTTGTTGACCTAAACCCTATCATGCGTGTCGTGCACGTATTGACGAGGCGAAGGTTGAAGAAGAAAGGGAGAAGGAAATTCAAGGGTAAAAGAAAAAGAAAGAAAGAAAAAGTGAGAAACGCAGATATACTTGAAACAAAATGATTCAAAATTACAACAACAGCACATTTTATTGAGTAAAAAGCGGCACAGTACCATTGAAAAGCAAAACAAAAAAAAAAAAAAAACAAGAGATGGCCCTATGTCAGCATTGCTACGGTAACATGTCTTTTGCTTCAGGGAAACCCTTGCATCAAGGACAATGGGGCCTCAATTAAGAGAAAGGAGAAAAGGAGAATGGGGGAAATGGGATAACGACAAAAACAAATCATACAATACCATCTCGGACGTATAATGAGACGACGCGAGAACACCAGGGGAGAAAAAGGGAATATTAAAAAGAACATACAAAAATTCCGAGGGGAAAAGGGGAGGGATATTAGGTGACTTGGAGGATTATTTTTCGTTGCAATGTGTCCCGACGATTAAACAAAGAGTCGGGGGCTTGGGGGGAAAGAAGCTGACCTCCATCCTTTGTCAGACAGCGACGAACGATGGACGACATTATAAGTCATACGATAATCATCGCACTAGCAATTCAAAGTATTCTTAGCCCAGCGAAGGCCCCGATACACTATGGTTGTCAAAGGTGTTGATCAGTAACCGGAAGCACGACCGTGCATCTAACACGTCGGTCGGTCCGGGCTCTCTCTGCGCTACTCACCAGTAGCGGTTGAGGCACACGTTGGATGTATGGCCAATCTAGACGGCCTAGGCCCGTTCCGGTAAGACGCATGGGGATATAGCGGTATATATAGGACCGTACACCCAACCAAAGGTGTGGAGAAGAAAAAAATGGAAGAGTAAAATTTGATTAAAACGTGAAATGAGGCACATATACCCATTCCCTTTATGTAAGTGTATTAATGTGGGAGTTATCTTGTTTCGTTTCATTCGTGGAACAAAAGGGTTGGTTGAGTGGAGTCGAAGGCGAAAACGACTCATTCAGGTCGTGGGCGGAAAACGAGGGGGCAATCATCCTATTTTGGTATTTGTTAGTCGCTACATATTCCTGAGGAATTGAGGTTGAATTAAGGTAAGTAGTGAGGTACATGAACAACACGTACCATGGGGAAAATAGTCGCAAACACTTTAACATCCTCCGACGCAGGCGTGGTATGATGCTCCCAATCGAGCAGCATACTCGCCTTCCCAATCATCATCATTAGATTCAGCTGCGCATACGTCTGGCCAAGACAGTAATGCGGGCCCGTGCCAAAGACAAGGAAGTTCTTGGCTGCTTTGTCCGCATCGCCCGTGATCCATCGGTCCGGGTTAAACGTGTCGGGATCCGGGTATGCCTCCGGGTCGTGCGTGGCGGGCCAGATAGAGGGGACAATCATGGAACCCTTGGGCAGCGTGTAGGTGGGTGAGACGGGGAAATCCTTCTTGACCAAATACGGCACAAAGATTACTGGGGGACGGTAGCGGAGAGTCTCTCGCACGACGGCGCGGGTGTAGGTCATTTGATCCAGCATACTCATGCTGATGGGCATGTTGCGATCGCCGCCACAGACGCTCAGGGTTTCCTCGCGAATCTTGTCAAGGACCTCGGGTCTATCGGCGGTCAGTTGGAAGAGCCAGGTTGAGGCGCTGCTGGTGGCGTCTTGGGAGGCGAAGAGGAAGGTGAAGAGGGTCTGGGCAATTTCATAGTCGCTGAAGTCGCGAAGGATATGACTTGGCTTCTCTGATGGGTCCACTTTGATGCCTTGGGCGATCTTGGCGCGGTATGCAGCGGATTCCAGCATGGTTTTAACCCATGCGTCCATGATGCAGGTGATCTCTCCACCGGCAGCCATGCGAACTTTACTCTTGGCAGCGCACTTTTTGAACTCGTACAGGACCATATCTGCAGACTTCTTTCCATACCATGTCTTGGTGAATGGGATAATGATGGGGAAGTTGACCAATTCGAGAGCCGCAGTGATCAGGTAGTAGTCATCCGCGACGAGCTTGACGGCCTCGTCGGACATGTAGTGTCCGACAAAAGTGCGACACGACAGAGCAGTCATCAATTCGCGCAAGTGCGGCATCCACGGCTCCGCCTTGAAATTGTTCTGGGCGGATCTTTCCACAAAAGTCTTAAAATACCTGTTATACACGTCATTCAGCTGAAGCATGTAGTTGGTCAGGGCAGGCCTAGCAAAAAGGCCGTTCAAGCCCTTTCGATACTCAACGTGGTCCTTGCCGTCCAAAAAGACCCAGTTGTCCTTGCCCAAGAGCTTATGAGCCACATCAACGACGCAGGGCTTGACATATGCTGGGGAATTGAAGACCTTGCGGACCGTATCACGGGACGAGGCGATAACAACAAATCTAATCAAGCAATGGGAGGAGATTCAGGTGAGCAAATTGATCTTCCATTTTCCATCTTGCGAGGAAAAAGGGCAAAAAGACACTGGATATTCATACTTGTGGAAAACCGAAACGCAACTCAGGTCAGCGCTTTCCCATTTCTTCTTGTACACGAGGAATTTAGGGTTCACAGAGTCGAGGAATGGGCCCATGAAGGGGATTTTGAACATGGGACCAACGATTGATCCTTTGAGCCAGAGATATTTTGCTGTTGGGAATATTAGCGACCGGCAAGGGCAAGCACCACAAAAAAAACAAAACCCATTTATAGTAAAAAATGAATTTTTAACCTTAATCATTTTCGCTTTTTTCTCATGGGCAAAGAAAAAAAAACCGAAACAAAGAGGAAACAGCATTCAGGAATGATTAATGATCATCATATCATACCTTGATCATAAGCCACGAGCATCAGGAAGAGGGTGAATATGATAGACCATGTGGACATGCCGTTGTAGATGGATATGACCAAAGCAACGGGATTTCGAGCTGAGGCAACCAGCCCGGCATCTGCCAGGGGCGAGGCAAACGTCCCATTGACATCCGCCATGGAGATAGATGGGGGAAGGGGTCGTCACGGAGTCTGTTACCACGAATGTGGGATGTGTTGAGTCGATGGTAGGGCGTAGAGAATTGCGTTATATAAAGGGGATTTCCTCTTTTTCTTTTTTTCTTTTTTTTATTTTATTTATTTATTTATTTTTTTTTTTGGTTGGGAAGTAGGACCTCAAAAGAGCAAGTGACAATCCTCTTAGTTGCCACCAACAACAACACGTCCAATTGGATTGGGTGGGGGGGGGGGGAATTGAACGATAGAAACCCGGAGGGAACGAGATGGAGGAGGTTGCGAGGGAGTGAAGAAAGGGGTTTGGTTTGGGGAGAGATGGAAGAAGGTCTGGGAGGTTTTGAACGTTGTTGAGGTCGGGGGAAAAGAAACGAAAAAGAGGAAGAAACCTTCAAAGAATTGCCGGGCCTTGCCGCATCGGGACAGGGGAGGGGTTAGGGATCTTGAGCAGACTTCGTCGTGGGGAAACTCACAGTACCAAGATTACCAAGATTACCAGCATTTCCTTCACAACAAAACCCCTTTGCACGCAAATGAAGTTATGCGTAATTTATGGCCCGGGTCAGCGGAGGCCGGTTGCCCAGAACCGAGACTAAAAAGTGTCCATCCAACCTTCACCAGCTTTTGCTTAACAGGGGCAGGACATTAGCAGCGGGTGCGGCATAGTGCTTGACTGTCGTCGCCCAACGACCCTAGTCAGAACTGCTGCAAGCTAAAAACCGCTTCTTTTTCCCAGATCTAACGCTACTCTAGAATTCAGCAGCCTTTGGTTCGACCAAGGTGCTCGGATGTCCGAGCCTCCGAGGAGATCGAGATCCAAGGCATCAGCTATTTGTCATAGTGTCAACTGGATAGTTGAAATCTCGTGGGAATTTTGTTCTCTGCCGCCCCTCAAAGTAAGCTCCTCCAAGCTCCCCCCCCCCTCTTCCCCCCCCCCCCCTGTTCGGGTCCTGGAGGTACCCTTTAGGAATATGGAAGATATACAACTGTATAGAGCAATTAGGGCCACAACCAATGTGTGAGGACAAATGATAGAAGCTGAAGAACCCAGTTCACATCTCTCTACAGGAATTAGTTATCAGATACTCTACTCCGTGCTCCAACCCTCTTCAAATGCGCTTCACACTCTCCCAAATGGGTTATTCCAGTGAGATCATTTTTTTAGTCCCTGGCCAAGAGCTTGAACCCTGACCTGGTGCGTTGGTGCGTTGGTGCGTTGGTACCTTGCGCCAACACATATCCCCGCTCTGCAGCCGGGTTGTACCTAGGCAGGCACCTTTCTCGTTCCTTGCATAACAATCCCTCCCCCCTTGCCCCAAGCAAACGGTGTGATTTCGGTAACGTTATCTCCGAAACTCCCGTGTTCGAATGAACAACGCCGAAAGGTTTTCCGGGCGAAATTTGTGCCCTTCCCAGGCAGGTCAGCTGATCTTCAGGCTCTGTATTCTGTCGGGCGAAATAACTGTTGTTCCTCCGTACCGTTTATGTAAAAGATATTTCATCTGTATTGAACGAAAATTTCTCAGGCAAAAAGCTGAATGCTGAATTTAAATTATCAACTTTTACTTCAGCATATATGAATGCCGTTAGCTTATAGCAGGAATGAAAGAAGATCTCTATTGAGAGAGAGAGAGAGAGAGAGAGAGAGAGAGAGAGAGAGAGAGAAAAGAGAATTGAGAGAGTTAAAAATTTTTAATATTAATAGTTAAATTATTAATAAAATATATTTAATAAAGTAATACTAGAGTAAATCTATTATTTAATTTATTTTTAAAAGTAAACAATCTGTTATTTAATTAATTCTATTATAACTTTTATTTTTAATTCAAGGAGCCCTCCGGTCAGATTCAAAAGTTTCAACGACCCTGAGCTGCACGGAACGGCGCGGGATCAATGGTCCAGTGGACAAGGTCAGAGCAAGTACGTACTCACTGTATGTGGTGAGCAGCCTCCGGCGTCCTACACTTCGATTGAGCAATTCGAAACTCAGGTTATTGCTCAACATATTGATCTTGACGATGTTGTCGCAGTAAGCTTCTGGCCTCCGGCTTCCATAAGCTTACAGTCAAACTTCAGTGCGGTGTTTCCTTGTGGAGTCCTTCCTAATCAACAACAATCTACTGCCTTGGCTTGATGCGTAGGATCTAGGGAAAACGCATCAACTTTGCAAAACACATTTGCGGACGTACACGGCTCCTCGGAGCAGGAAAGTATATATATATCCATGGCTGCAACTTCATGAGAGCGTCGTCCTCATCTAGTCGACTGTGGATATGCCATGCTTGGTTCAACGGCGAACCAATCGCTGGGACCGTCAAACACAGAGTTTGACAACTGCTTTCAACTTCCAGGCGAGATATCATAGAGAGAGATCACCCTGATACTTGTCAATGGCAAGAGAATCATCCCTTCAGTGGCTTATCATGCGGCACGCTGAATGCTGGATGGTTCAAATTCGTTCAACTTGCACTGTAGCCCAGCCATCTGCTTAGCTTGCTGCTGCACCAGTCTTCGGAAATCAGCCCTGTTATCAGTGGAGGCATCCACTGCAGGCAGATGCTCAATGGGAGATTATTAATATTTTATTTTTTTTAATTATATCGAAAAGAGGAGGCGGCGGTCCCGTTTCTCACCGTCGTCGCTCGCGTCCGACTTCTCGTATCTTACGCACTTCGGGGCCTTATTCGAGAATGATCAGGGACGAATTCGTAATGTTCCGGGCGGTCGTCCGAATGCAACCGCAGCACCTCTCCTATATATCAAAGGACGAATGCGTTTGGGGAAGGAAAAGAAGAAAAAGTGGGAACAGATTTAGTGAGATCCTAATCACGTTGCATCCCAGATAGACAAAGAGATTTCTTGATTCCTCCTTTGAATAAAAATGAATAACTGAGATTATTGCTAGGATCTTTTTAAAGATTTCTATAATTGATAAAAATATACAAGTACAGAGTTTTATACAGATTGATTGAAAGAAAAATAAATTAATTATAAAACTTTTTAATTATGAAAAATTATTATTAGAAATCTATTATAATAAATAATTTAAAATAAATTCTTATAATAATTTTAAAGAATTATAATATTTAATTCTTTAAAAACAAAACTTTGACATTATGATAAATAAAAATTATTAATAAAATAAACATTTTAATAAAAATTCAATATTTATTTATTTATTTATATTTTACTTTATTATGCATGAAATTAATATTATTTATTTGAATTATTTAGATTTTATATTATATTATTAATTAAAATTTAAATTAATTAGTTATCTAATTTTTAACCTTTCTGATTTCATCATTAATAACAGATTATCTGTTGAATCAGATAATCTGAATCTCAAATTAATTATCAATTTTATCAATGAATAAGAAAGGCATCTAAATACATGTGAATGATATGTAATATATATTATTGGTTAGTAGTTGGGGTTATCAACAACGCCAACTCCAAAGCGTGGAAATTGTTATCACCGCATCAACCTCAGTGGGGGTAGTGTATGTACAGACACATACATGCATGCATAAAAACCCGCAGATCCACCCCTCAAATTCCATCAGAAAGGAGAAGAAGAAAAAAAAAAAAAAGTAATAAACACTAACGGCAGCAATATCGAATTCCGCCTGCCACCAGCATGTCCGCAGCCATAGCAGCAGCCCGTTCTCTGACAACCACCCTCTCCCCTTCTTCTCGCCTGCCTTTCCGATTACTACGGACAGGCACCGGCGGAGGAGTCCCTCTAGCAGCACCAGCGCCCACGCGGCCCACGAGGCATTACCCATGTCCCTCTGGAGCTGGACGGGTGCGACAGCTGCAGAGGGAGGACACTCCCGGCGTGTGGAATAGCAATGTTCTATATGCCAGGTGGTTCTCGTCTAGTAGTGCAATCAGGAATAAGAGCGCTTCGAGCGCAGGCCAGGGCCAGGAGGGGGAGTTCAAGAAGTATGGTTTTGAAGAGGTATGTTAGGGAATTTGATCTTTTTCTTTTGCATCTCCGCTCCGACGACTCCATGAGGCGGCGGCGGCCCTAACAAGAACTACCACAAACCAGATAACCGCCTCTTTCCCCTCCTCTTCATCGAACCCTTCCTCGCCTCCATCCTCGCACCCCTCCCCTATCCTAATAGACGTCCGCGAACCTGCCGAACTCCTCGAAACCGGCATAATACCCACCGCCCTCAACATCCCCATCGGCACACACCCAGACGCCCTCTTCCTCTCCCCCGACGAATTCCTCACACGTATGGGCTTTGAGAAACCCGAGGCAGACACATCGCCACAATCAGCAACATCGTCATTGACGTCGTCGGCTTCGTCGGGTTCGTCAACGGCGGAAAAACCTGACATCGTGTTCTATTGCAAGGCGGGGGTGCGGGCACGGGCTATGGCGGAGTTGGCGGTCAAGGCTGGGTATGACAGGGGGAGGCTGGGGGTTTACGATGGGAGTTGGTTGGATTGGGAGAACAGGGGGGGACGGGTGGAGCGGTGGGAGGGAGGGAGGGAGTGAGTGAGTGTCTAGAGAGAGAGAGAGAGAGAGGGATGTTGTGGTATGAATGTATATAGCTGGTTTTAATAAAACGAGGCTGAAAAGTACTGTTTTGAAATTAACGGGTGAAAAGGGGAATAACAATATGCATGGGGGGCCGGTTAAAAGGTTTTCATGATGGACGTGGACCGCTTATATATACGCCATTTATGTGAGAGATATTTTCTACATCTTGGTTATAGTTTACTCGAATGGACGTTATTCCCTTCCCCTCTTGCAATGACTCAGTTCCAGTGTACAATTGAAAAAGAGCATGAAGCAGATGCCTAATTTCTTCCATTTGCATGAGAAGTTTCTGTGGACGCTCATTACATACCATTCATCAATGTTGATTGGGTAAAAGTCCAAGCCAGATTATACCTTAACCATCGTATAGAGTCAGCTAGCTAAAGTTTTTCTGTGGCTTTCGCCTTCTTGAATAGAAGAAGACGGAACGCTTCAAGTCCTTGAAGTCATAGATAGGGATAGAAGAGGGGAGCTAGAGGAAGATCAATAAAATGCCGGATAGATGATTAGAGCGGAGAACAAACGGTAATTTAAAAATTTTAAACATGAGATGACGGACACTTTTCTTCTAGTTCCTTACATTCAAAAAAGCGTGTGATAAAAATTTTGCCAAGTCAGAAATACGTCGCCATTTTAAACGTAAAGCAATGTCAAAGGAGACGGGGGCAGCAAAAGGTAGAAGAAAGCTAAGAAAAGGACCTCTTTAAAAAGTAACACAACAAATGGAAATAAAATATATAAAATATTGCAAGGGGTAGATTAAGAATTATAAAAATTCAAGGAATATCAAACAGCGGCTTCAACTTCTTGATAAGAACCCACTCATCCATCGAGACCTCGGGTCGATAGAACTCCTTGAGTGTGTCAATGCTCGGCCGCGAGATGAGCGAGTACAGAGTGTCTGACTCCTCAAGCTGGCGGCCGTAGAGCGGTTGGTTGGGGCCCTCTATCTTAATGGCCACGGAGGGTTGACCCTTCTTACAGAGCGGGATCTGCTTGTGCTCGCGTTCAATGGATTGGCTGTTTCAAAAGGGAAAAAGAAGAGTGATTAGATTTATGTTTAGAACGCTCAAAGAAGGATTTTCTTCGTTGGTTTAATGTTTTTCGTGTTGGAAAGGGGATTATTATCACTTACACTCTGCCCAGATTGATAATCTCCTTGACACCAGTGACGGGGTTATTTTTAACAGCGGCGATGGGCGTGAGCATACGCAACGAGCCCTCGACAACATCCACCCCGATGACGATGGGGTCCTTCTTATTAAACACAGCTACTGTACGAAGCACGCAGGGGAACACAGCAAGCAGTTTACTTTCCTCCTTCTTCTGCTCAGTGATCTGCTGCATGTGTTTCGTAAAGTCGTCGAAGAGGTGATAGATAATGTCCGCCGTGAAGATCTTAATCCCCACTTCGTCAGCGTACGCCTGCGCCTCTTTATCAACTTTAACATCAAAACACAACATGACAGCGAACTGCTTGGCTTTTTCCAACATGGTACCTGCGCGCATGACGTCGCGCTTGTACACGGGGCCGATGGAGATGTTGGCGACGGGGATCTTGGAGACGCGGAGGAACTCGAGGAGGGCTTCAAGGGAGCCAAGGGTGGAGGCTTGCACGCTGACACCGCGGTTATCTTTGGAAACTTTGCTGAGGAGATTTTCGAGATCTGACATGACTTCATCTTCGAGGTCTTCTTCGTCATCATCGGGGCCAACGACGAGGAGACGGGAACCAGCGATAGCGTGTTCGAGATCGTTGGCGGCGATCTTTACACCCAGGGCTGCTTTGACTTCTTTGTTGTGAACGTATTGCGATTTGAGACGGAGTTCTTTGAGTGGCGCCGGTGTTAGGAGTGCTCGAATATTTGTCGCAATTGCTCCGTTCAGGCCGCACAAAACAATCCGGTCACCCTCGCGCAGCACACCGTTCGACAGGACTACGTCGATGGTTGTGCCGAGGCCTTCAATAACTTTAACTTCGAGAACAGTACATTCAACCTCGGTGAGATACATGAGCTGTTTGGTCATGCGCTCCTGCGTGAGAGCGACAAGAAGCTTGAGCATGTCCGGAACACCTTCACCAGTATGCGCAGAGGTAGGAACAAGAGACACGTTCCTGGCCATGGACTTATTCTCCCAGTACAGCTCCGAGTTGAACCCTTGTTCTGCAAATGCGAGTTTCGTCCTATCAACTCGGTCTCTGAACTCGTTCTGAACACCCTTATTTTGCAGAGCCAAACTATCCTGGATACCGTTGTTGTCAATCTTCTTCCAGCCGTAGAGACGATCAATCTTGTTCAGTGCAACAATGAAGGGCGTCTTCCTATCTCGAAGAAGTTTCATGGACTCGAGAGTCTGTGGTTCCAAGCCGTGCATAATATCTACCACGAGAATGGCGATGTTACAGAGCGAAGAACCTCTTGAACGCAGATTGGAGAACGACTCGTGACCAGGGGTATCAATAACGAGTAGACCAGGGACCTTGAATTCAAAAGAGCCATCCTTGTTGACAACGGCAGTTTTTTGCTGCAGCGCGTCAACGGGGAAATACGTAGCACCAATCTGCTGCGTGATACCGCCAGCCTCCCCCTCTTGGACGTTTGTTTGTCTGATTTTATCCAACAGCTTCGTCTTACCAGTATCGACGTGTCCAAGAATACAACAAATCGGAGATCGGAGATTATCTGCTGATCGCGCGGCAAGAGCCTCTTCGTGTTGTTTCCTCCGTCTTTCCGCTGCCTCTGCTTTTCGCTGGGCGATAGCTCGTTGATTTGCAGTGGTCTCTTCATCAGATTCCTCTTCTGACGATTCCTCCTCCTCAGACTGCTGTTCAGAATTTTTGCCGCTCCCTTCTGCCTTTTTGGCACCGTTGGTTGCTGGTTCGGCTTCTTCTTGCTCCTCATCTGATGACATATCCCAGCTCTCTTTAATGCCACCAACTTCCGCCTCCTTCGCAGCGGCCGCTTCAGCAGCTGCTTTTTCCTCTGCACGTTTGCGTTCCTCCTCTTCCTTCTTTGCCCTTTCAGCCTCGAGTTCTAGCCGTTGAGCCTCCGCTCTAGCAGCAGCGGCCTCCAGGTCATCCTCTTGCTTCTTCGTGCTACGCTTCTTTTTATTCTCATAGACCGGCTTCTTCCTCTCCACCAGCTCCGCTTCCAAACCTGCAACTACCGCACCAGCCGCGAGCATCTGCTGCTTCCGGAGCTCATTACGCTGTTGAGCTTCCTTCTGAGCCTTGGTAAGCAGTTTCCCCTCTTTTCTCAATTGTTCTTTCTTCTCGCGCTCTTTTTCCTTCCTCCGTTGTCGAGCTTCCTCCTTCTTCCGCTCCTCTTCCTCCCACTGCCTCTGTCGTTCTTCTGCTGCGGCTTTCTCCTCAGCCTCAAGGCGCGCAATCTCCTCCTGTTGTTTCCGTAGAGCCTCTTGCTGTCTCTGGATCGCAGCGAGATGGGCGGGGAGCTTCTTCTTTTTACCACCGGTCTCAGCAGCGGGAGGGGCCGCAGCAGGGGCTTGAGGTTTTTCTTCAGCAACCGGTTTAGCGGTTTCAGCCTTTGGCGCGGGAGCAGCAGCGGGGGCGGCAGTCTTCTTTTTCGCAGCCTAATATACCAAAAATAAAATTCATCCAGTTAGTCAGTCAATCATCATTTGATCATGGTCAATTTTTGTTTCAAAATAAAACGCAAAGAAAGGGAGAGAAGGAGAGAAAAGGAAAACCCACCTGCTCTTTCTTCCTCTGCTTCTCCCTCTCCTTCCTCTCCTTCTCCTTTTCTTTCTTCGATTTGATCCTGCTTCTTTCCTCAGCCTCCTTAGACTCAGCAGCCTTTTCTCTCAACGCAGCCGCTTTATCCTTAGCCCTCTGTCGGGCACTGGCATTCCCCGAAAAGACGTCGTCCTCGTCCCCCTCAAAGCTACCTTCCTGTGGCTGCTTGCTCGCATCATCTGCTGCAGCAGCAGCAGCAGAAGCAGCAGAAGCCATGGGATCCTCCCCTTCAACAAAATCATTATCGGCCCCCTTGCTTCTCTTAGCTTTTTTGCTCCTGTTCTTCTTGAGAGCGGCTAGGAGGCCGCCATCCATTCCGTCATCCTCATTCTTGTTTTTTTCCTTATTGGCGTTGTTGGCAGCGTCGTCGTCATTGGCATCTGCGGCGGTAGTGGCATCTGCGGTGGTAGTGGCAGCTGGAACGGTTTCTCCTAGCTCAGCTTCCCAGCTCTCCTGCTGCTTCTTGCTGCCCTTTTTCTTAGGTGCCATGTTTTTCTGTTTCTTAGTTGTCGTAGAAACGAAGTCGAAACGAATTGATTGTTTATTGTCAAAAATGTCTTTCTTCTATTTGCTGTTTGCTGTCGATGTTATACAGGAAATCTCCACCGTGTAGATTGTGCGTGTGTGTGTGTGTGTGTGTGTGTGGAAACGTACGAAGACGTGAGCTAGGATATATAGCCTGGATGCTTCACGTGGTGCGTAGTCTGGCTCTGAATGAGAGTGGGGATAGCAGTAGAGGAGGAGGAGTGCTGGTAAAATTCGACGTGAGGCACCTCGAGGGTAAATGCGGTGACATCAGCGAGATGTTGATATCTGTTTTGTGCTGATTGTGCGGATTATGTGTGGGTCGGAGATACGAAAATGGGGAGGTCAACGGAGTCAGCCGTGGAGGGCTGAGTCGAGATGTTCTTGACCTTCCGTTGACTACTTTCGCTGTTGTCGGGGATGTTGAGACAGGAGTCCAGCTGATAGTTATCGGTCTGCGATAAAAATCTCTGGTTCAGTAAGGTTGAGGTGGGCCGAAAAAAAGTGAAATTCGCTTGGGTGAAGAAAGTTCTTGATTCCAGCAGTTTTGGTGGGGGGAAGTGGCCAAGCGAGAGAGACCAGAGGATCACTCATGCAGGCAGTGAAAAAGAGCGGTTATATTCAAATATATCGAGGCGTCAGGAAGACACTACTACATGGAGATAATAAATATGGA